TGGATGGATGAATGAGTGAATGGGTGGATGGGTGGATGGGTGGATGGGTGGGTGGATGGATGAATGAGTGAATGGGTGGATGGGTGGATGGGTGGGTGGGTGGATGGATGAGTGGATGGGTAGGGGGATGAGTGGATGAATTATGAATGGGTGGGTGGACAGGTGGATGGACCAGCTGATGGGTGGATGAATGAGTGAATGGGTGGATAGGTGGATGGGTGGGTGGATGGGTGGATGGGTGGATGGGTGGATGGATGGGTGGATGGGTGTAAGGGTGGATGGGGGGGACGGGTGGATGGGTGGATGGGTGGGTGGATGGATGAATGAGTGAATGGATGGATGGATCATTCAGAGTTTGCTATTCAGGCAACTAGAGCAGCCACAGAAACTCCGTAGAATTGCTCTCAGAATTGTATTATATTATGAAAATCTCACTCTTTGCCAGCTGGGAATTATTATTTGGTGCTGCCTTTTATCTATAACACAACTGTTCATTCTACCACAGTGTCTGACATTTTGACAAAACACACCACACTGCTTACATTGTGGCTTGTCCTGAAGGGGATTTCTGGGAGATTTGTCAGTTTAGGTTATTGAAAGAAGCCTGCTTATGTAATCATTGCTTGTTACTGTGGCCCTGGTACTTACAGCCAGGAGGAGGATGTGACTCAATCCCAAGGGCAGGACACACCCCACGACAGAAGACTGGGCTCTCACACGCACGCCTGGCAGGCCCATGGGGGGGTGGACACCACGCCCAGCGGGACTCAGAAAAGCCAGTGGCCAAGGAGTCTGAACAGCAACTCTTGCCACTGCTAAAGCCTCCTGGACCCTCGCCTTCTGCTACCCTCACCTAACAAACACACACATCCTTTTACATCTGTGTTTGCATAGAGCAATCACCCTTCTCTTATAAATAAATACATTATTTTTGTCTTCCCACCGGTTGCTTGGGTTACAATTTTTCTAAATCCCAGCTTCATAGGCTTTTTTCTGTTTTCTCTCTGAAATCTGAAATCATATCCAAAGGAAAGACTTAGAAACTAACTTCCACCCCAAAGAAGGCTTTGAGCAGACCCAGCTGTGTCTCCCTGTGCTCCAATGTCACAGGAACCCATCCTGAAGACAAAACAGGAAAAGACTGGCTCCTCAAGCTGTTGCTTGTCCCTGCAACATCTGGGTAAACTAAGGACAGGCCAAGCTTGCTGGAGGGCACAGTCAATAACAGATTTTAGGTCTCATTTCCAACTTCTTCCCCACCAGGTCAGTCTCAAAAGAACATTGTTTTTCCACTATTATAGACTCATGATGAATGGATAAGTCCTTCCCTGTAAGCCATGACTGTATCGTGGCTCAAATACCACAACCACTCATGAGCTCATTAGATCTGGGTGCAGGTGTTCTCTCATCTAATCTTTACAGTCCCGAAGGCTCCTATTTTCTAGCTGAGAAAACCAAGACTCAGATTAAATACTCAGCCCAAATTCCACTGCACAGTGCAATTGTAACTACACAACCCTAACAGTGCATTGAAAGTGATACTGTCAGTTACATATTACACTGTCTGAGATATATCAAGAGGAAGAAACCCCAACCAGCACAGCCATCAAACTGCCCACAGGAACAGGGTGACTAGGCTCACAGCGGAGAGGACAGGGGAATGAATGTCAGCCATGGCGCTGAGGCCAGGAGGAACAGAGCCCTGTTGGGGTTGGGCATCAGCGACCTCCTCAGCCGGGCCACTCCACTAACACGAGGTCCTGGTGGTCGCTCTCGCAGTTGGCCCTCAGGCAGGACATGGTGGGGCACAGAATCCAGAGGAGAAGACAGCACACTCAGGCCACGCTGGAGCAGGTCTCAAGGCATTGTAAGTTCGTGAACAGGGCCCACCCCACTGTTGTCCTTCCCTAAGTCCCCTGTAAGACCTCATGGAGAGCTCTGAGCAATCACCTGGAGAGGGTATCCTGGAGTCCAGCCTCTGGGGAGCCTTGCACTATATTCCAGCCCAACCAGCAGCCAAAAGCAGTGGTGCTGGAGCCCTGCTGAGCTGCAGGGGGCTTGGGCCCATTCTCAAGAGCCAGTGGCTAAATCTCCAGGAACACTCCAGGCCAGGTGCCAAACGTGGCCATTATTTAAAACAGAATTTTATAAATGTACCATTAAATCCATGAAAACCAAGTTTGAAAAGTATTCAAAATCCATCCCTTCCTTACCATTTTACATTATTATCTACTGTGCCCTTGGGACCCTCGCAGGTGATACCCCCGAGGCGGAAATGCTGTGCAATGGAGCCGCTACCACACAGCCACTCCTGGCTCCAGTCAGGACAGCAAGTTGGTAGCTTAAAATCGGTCCTGGTGGGGATATTTACACCTCAGAAATCGTCACATATTATTATGACATCTATTTTTCCAGAGTCTGTTTTAAGCATTTGTCAGAACCAAAAAGATGATTCTGAAAGGCAGTGGAGAAGGTAAATGCTTTTAGCAGACCTAACTCCAGGAGTTCTCTCATTGTCCATGTAGCATAAAAGGAGAAATGGCTAGGCACATCGTGGCCAGGGACTTGGAGGCCAGCTGGCTGGGGCCCCGAAAGAAGCACAGTGATGAGCAGGATGAACACACGGGCAGAGAAGACTCTGGAATAAGCTCTGAGTGTGTGAACGTTTCTGTCCCAGGTAAATGCTCACAACAGCCTGCATAGAGTAGGGGGCTCTCAGTCCCCTGGAAGACAAGACCCAGCCAGCAGTGAAG